TGCTCCCAGACAGCTTGCAGAGTTATTAGCTAGGAAGGACATCTCTGCCTGCCAGTGCAGTGTCCTGCCAGCTGGATAAAGCTTCCTTACTTAATACAAACCATTTCATGGAACATCTCACAAGGATCCAGGTGGTCCCTTGCAGTTGCTTGAGGCGCCTGTAGGGACTACTCACTTTTGCAGGCACCATTCTCCGCATAGTATCCCACTGGACAATCAGGAATGCAGTGATCCCCCAGGAGCAAGAGACGGGCGTTCTGGCACTTCAGACAGATGCTGCCGGTGTCCCACAGGTTGGCCACACACTGGCGGCACAAAGGGTGGCAGTCTAAAGGAAGCAGGGGATAACAGACACTGTGATCACAGAGAGACAAACCAGAACTGCAGGGGGAAACACAGTGCTAGGAATTCAAGGAAGACATTAGGAATGTAACTTTCAGAGCTCCTTCCTGCTATCTGATGCACAAGGGCTGGGATAAGGTGCTTAATTCTGCACTTCCAGATACCTGTAAGAGATGACTATAAATTGCCACGTTCAAGGAACATTTCTTTCCTCTTGCCTTCATCCCCACTTTTCCTCAACAACCATACTCTCTGCATCTCTCGTGCCCGCTCAAGCATCCTCTTTTCCATCTCTCAGTGAGCTTGGGAAGCTTTGTACGAAGCCAGTTCAAAGCTCTTTGCTTTCCCCAAACCTTTCTCTGATTTTAGGTGCTTCTACCTACAGGTTTCTCTTTAACAAACTATGCTGGCAGCTGTAGGCATTCACCTTCCTCTCCTCCCACTGCTGAAAAACAAAGAGCACAACCTGTACAGCTTTATGATCTTCTCCTGCAGTTCTTACTGTCCAGATTTTCACACACAACCAAGACATCCATACCCTGAAGAGGCCACTGCAGAACTCAAAGCCAAGCCAAGCCAAGAGAGGCATTTACAGTTGCATGAGAGTGCCTCAAAACCGTTTCCTTTTCTCATTTTTCCCCAGCTCGTGTCTCCTGACCTCTGCTTGAACTTACATGCTTCAAAAGGTTTTACAACAAGCCTTTTGTATGCACAACAGTGCAATGTAAGGCAACCTGGAAGCCAAATTAATCCTCATTATGATAATTCAGAAAATTATAAAGGAAATTACTACTGTCTTGAAAGAAATGGAATAATGAGGCTTGATTTGAGTACCCAGCTTCTTGTCAGATTTTCAGAGAGATTTCAACTTTCTGCCTTTTGTTTCTTGTGACAGCACTACTACAGATTGTCAGGCAATCTTATTTTACAAGCTGAAGACGGGCTCACATCAGAGTCCGGGGGAATTCTGCATCCATACCTGCAAGAACATAATAGTCTGACTTCTATGCATCACACGTAGATGATTCTTACCAAACACTGGTGGAAAAGCATGGATGCAGCTCAGAAATAAATGCAATTGCAACTGCATGCAGGGATTTGACGTCATTAAAACAGCAGCTTCCTTCACCTCCTGACTTTAGAGGGTATATAATCTCCTCTAGCTTCTGTCCCATACTCTCAACCTTGCAGATGGGAAATCAAGAGCCAGAGGGGAGGTAAAGGTGTGAGAGAAGAAACATTCTGCTTAAGATAGTGACCCTGTAGGTTCTCAATCCATCGCTGTCAGGACAGCAGTAAGAAAAGCAAAGCAGCACATGAGATCATGATCAAACTCAGTGACAAAGCTCAAAACCTCCTCAGAGGGGTTACTGTAAGGCAGCTTTTGACTGCACAGGAGAAGAACTCGATACCCAGGGCACCATCCAATCAATGTTTACAGCCAAAGATCCCAAACCTGTACTGACATCAGAGCGGAAAGGATCACAGAAGCCAGAAAGGATCACCCAGTGTAGGGTAGAGAGCAAGAACCAAGATTTCACCAAAAAGGCCCTGAGCACCATATGTAATTTGTATGCACAGTGCTAGAGGTGGGGTGAAGAGTTTTATACACTTGTAGTCAACAAATTAACATAAATCCAATTAGTTTCTCATGCTTCCACATCTACCTGGTGATATGTCAACTCCCCTGATTGTTAAAATGAAATACTCCAGTTTAATCTCCTGCCAGAGCCACTGGTCTCTAATAGCAGCTATGGCTAGATATAAGTAACCAAACTCACTGAGTATGGTCAATAGGTCCCATAAACAGAGCATAAAAATGAGACAGAGAAAACTCAAGGGTATCCAAATAACCAGTATCTACTGTAAATAGCTAGATTCTCACAAAGTAATGTTTAAAAAGCTAAGTGTCTACAAAACCAGGTGCTGCTGCAGTAGTTTTCTCTGTGTTGAAAGAGTTCTTTTTCTCAGCTACTGCTTTAGGATAAATCAGCCCCAACACTCTCTTGTTCCTTTGCAAGCCTGTAGATCAAAGAGCACACACCACCAAATAAAACACAGGACTGACACTCATGGTGAGTCTGAGGGATATTGGGGAACTAGTGAGAGTAAAGGAAGAATTGAGGTGCCTTGTTTTGGAAAAGATTATTTAAATTTCTTACAGCAGGCTCTCTTTGAAGCAAGGACTAACAGAAGTGGGGTGTTTTCCTTATGCTTCTCAATAACACTGCACAGCTGTATTTATTTCCTGCTTCTGCCTTCTCCCTGTCAGTCCTCAACTCCAGCTAAGCCAAGTTACTGCCTGTGGGCTTTGGGGTTTTGAAGGCTTCACATCATAGAATCACAGACTGGTTTGGGTTGGAAGGGACCTTAAAGTCATCCAGTTCCAAGCCCCTGCCATGGGCAGGGACACCTTCCACTAGAGCAGGTTGCTCAAGGCCCTGTGTCCAAGCTGGCCTTGAACACTGCCAGGGATGGGGCAGCCACAGCTTCTCATGTTTGCTGCAGGTCAGTTCAACAGAGTTATTTAATAAACTTCTTCCAGAGTCCCACCTGGATTCTCAGGGCAGCATGTCACCCCCTTGCTTGTAGTCCCAAGAACTCCCTTCCCATCTATTTGAGACTACTGACTTGCACCCCACTGTCCACACTGTCTTGCTATCTTTTAAGCTGGATCTGATTTCCTTCTTGTCTATTCACCTCTATACACCCTCCCCTTACCTATCACTTATCTTCCTATAATGCAAATATCATTGTAAAGTAAAATATAATCACTTACATAGATTTCCATTTCCAGAGTTACTTTACTTCCATGCCCACTTTAGCTTTCTCTTAGCAAACAAATAATGCCCTTAATATATGAAAAGTATCTATTATATATTGTTCCTTTGCCTGTCAAGACAAAGGTGGCTGTTTGGGGAGACAAATTCACCTCTGAAGTGTTTGTGATTGCTCATAAAGGAAACCAGAAGCATTTTTACCTCAGTTCCACCATATGCTAAGCAATCAAGCACTTGTGTTGTTTAAATACACCTTCCCTCCGAAGGGCTCTTTAAAAAAAGAAAAAAATCCTGATGCATTTTTTGTCTTATATTCTAAGGTATGAGGTTTAACACACAGCATTACTTGAAATCAGTACTTAAAACACCACGCAGTTTACAGGCATGTCAGCATGCAAACATCCTCCAGCACCTTACAATAAATCCAAACCAGCGTGATTGATTGATTCAGAAGGACATTTTGCACTGACCAGGATTTTTGGTTTGATTAGGTGTTTGGAAGGAGCTTTTTGTCTCTCTTTTAAAAGACACAAAGGAGAATTTGTCACACAGACAAGGGGAGTGAACTCTGAAAGTGCAACCGTGTTTGTAGGGATCTGCTCACACCTTCTGCAAAGGGTGGGAGTTTCTCTAGGCAGTGTAGGGTGGGAAATCCTGGCACAAATGAGCCCAGACCAAAGCAGGGAAATGATGTCCATTTTCCTCCTCTGGCAGTTCAGCTGTTACCTTCTGTAGGAGGTTGCACCCAGTGACTAAGTGGGGTCGAGCCTCTGGCTTCCCTCTTGCTCTGCTCAGGGAAACTCCAGCTCTTTGTGATGGTATCAATTTCTCTTTAAAAGTATGGCAATAGCTCATTAAGTTTACAAGGAGCTGAATGTATTTCTTGTTGTCAGAATGTCCCTTCTGGAATTTTAAGAGCAAGGCAGAAAGGCTTGTTACAGGGACCCCCCTGAGTGAGCTCTTCTGGTTTATCTTTGAACACTTTCACAACAGCCTAAGAAAGCAAAGGCCTGAGGAGCTGAAGAGGGGGATTGGGTGTTCTCTTTCAAGGAAGATGCAGCTGGAAGTTAAGATAGGACCTTGGGGATGTTTTGAGTTTCATCTCACTCCAGCTGCCCTTGCTACTAATTCTGGTAGGTGGTCCTTTGCATCCTGCATGCAGGAAAGATCAACAAGGAAGCCTCAAATCAGTGAGGAAGCCTCAAGACAGGTATATGATTTATCCAAATCAGAAAGGGCAAGGGTTTATGAGCAGGGCAACAGTTTTAGTGATGCTGCTACTTTTTAGACTGGTGACTGCAACGTTTCTTGAAGCTGAAGTTTGTCTTGGACAAGAGGGAGAGGGAAATCAAAGAGTGCTTTCAAACTGGGCAAACAAAAAAAGCAGAAGCCCCAGTACTCAGAAGGAGATGGCTAAAGCCATACACACACTCCTCTACGTACACTTCAGCTATGAAATAAAATTAATCAATTGCTTGCTCTTGAAGAAGACTGGCGCAAATTCAGCATGCCCAAACCACACCATAGAAACTCGCTGATCTTCAGCATCTTGAAGCCATTTTGTCTTTCTTCTGCTTACATTTGAAATGCTGCTTTGATAAACTGCTGAAAACAAGAATTTTTTTAATTTTTTTTTTCCTATTAACAAGGCAAATGTTCCCATCCTCATTCAGGTAACATGTACAATAACAGCATTAATTCACAGGCAATGGTTTCAAGCGACAGTTGGTTTTCTCCACCCTGTATGAAAGATTTTCCCCTGAAAGTCCATAAAGTATGACAGGTGGCTGTAATGCACAACAGTCCCTATAAGTCGTAACACAGTTCTGCCTGGAGGGTCAGGAATTAGAGATAAATGGGAAGATAACTGTAAAAATACATCGCTTTGGGAAGCAAAGGAAGAAGCTTTGTTAGACTCTGATGCAAATCATACATTATGCAAGTGTCAGGAGTTTTAATGTTCTCTTTTATGGGACAGCTGCTCTTTAACTGGTAATTAATAACTTGCAAGGGCAAATTTAGCATTTCAATCAGTACTGACTGAGAAGAATGAGTGAAATTTAACAACCTGGATGTGGAGCTCTTTATCTCTAGCAGAACTGGCAACACATAACCTTCGTTTAAACATCAGACATAAATTTGGCACAAAGATCAGCACATCCCAGACCAAAGCTCAACTTTTTTTAAAGGCAACAAGTAACTATGAAAAAAGTCTTCCCTGTGAGGGTGCTGAGGCACTGGCACAGGGTGCCCAGAGAAGCTGTGGCTGCCCCATCCCTGGCAGTGTTCAAGGCCAGGTTGGACACAGGGGCTTGGAGCAACCTGCTCTAGGGGAAGGTGTCCCTGCCCGTGGCAGGGGGTTGGAACTGGATGAGCTTTGAGGTCCCTTCCAACCCAAAGCATTCTAGGATTCTATATTCCTCTACAACTTCAGTTAGACCAAGAAACATTAACGCATCTATGTGCAAGACCACATGAATATTAAGGGTTCCTATCTGACAAAGAATATCTGTACTGGCCTCCTGAAGGCAGGACTTACTCGAGTGAGTCACACAGCAAAACTAAGGTCGGAAATGGAAGGAGGAAAGGTGTCTACTTATGTTCATAGCATGTTGCACCTGGAAAGCCTCTCTCCTGTTTTGGGGGCATAGATCCAAACACTCAATATTGATACTCAGTGATGCCAGGCACTGTAAACCAAGCCTTGAAAACATGTTTCTGCTTTGAGAAGTCTCCAAACAGTGGACCATGTTCATCACCTACAGGGCTCCAAAGGAAAGCTCGTTAGTTTGCAAGGAAAGGATGCATCACCAGCCTGCAATTGCTTTGGAGCCCAGAAAGCCAGGAAAGGTTCTCTGCAGACAATTCATCACTGTCAGTGCCACATATGTGCAGGTCAAACCTTGCGCTCCACACTGCCTGAACAAGCCCATTTGCAGTTTCAGCTCCTCATTATTCCCAGGCACTGTGACATCTAGCTAATCCCCTGGGATGTGGGGAGCAAGCATATTGCTCCATGACACCTAGCCAAACTTACAGATAACAGCAGTCTAAAAGGGATAATTAAAGCACATAGCATGCAGCAAGCAGCAGAGTAAGCCCTCCTCAGATACCATCCTGGTTTATGATGAATGGCAATAAGATTTTCAGTGAAATTTACAGCTGGAAGATGCATTTCCACAGGCCTTTTTTTCATGGGAAGCATAATGCAAAGTAATGGGAAAATAAGGTGGAAGAAATAAAGTGCATACAGCTATGATGTGACAGGACACTAACAAATACCACTGTAGCCCCAGAAATTTTATAGGACAGAGGCAGCTCTTTACACTAAAATGCTGAATTATTTCCATACTGCAATTACTTGACTGCATGAAACATTTTTATTCCTTAACCTGATTTCCTGTGTACACAGAGCTGTAGTTTAGGACATTTTCCTACTCCTCATATACTTTGTTTCCCACCTCTCTTTGTCTCTGCAGACAAAACAATGCCTGTCGTTTAACACGAAGATGAAGAAATGGTTCATAAAATCAATCTGTGGTGAACAAAGAAACAAGCCTTTCCTAAAAAAAACCCCAACACATATATAAACAAAAAGAAGTCTTGGTGAAAGGGAATCATCTGTCTTAAATTGAGAACAATAGCCTCTGAATAGGTATATTTATTATGCCTAATGCATTTTCCCCTTTTCTTAGGATTACTTATCTCACTTGGAACTGTTCAGCCTAGATTAAGCCTCACACACCATATCTCTTTTTGATAAAGAAAAAAATGGCTTGATAAAGCTCAGGAATTGTTGGAGCAGTTCCCAGGATATATGTTTATACGTGTCTGTGTGATGGATTAAAAGGAATTTTTCTCTTTAGACAGACAAATGCAATCAGTGGCTTCTGATGACAGGCTTAAGCGCAGGCATGGAGCACCCACAAAGTATAACCCCTATACAGAAATCCTATTACCTCCCAAGAATGCACACAGCAATGCTACCTGTGCCATTTTTTTCTTTAAGACCCTTAAAGAAAACTTCTCTGAATCAAAAATGTTTCCTTAACTCACTTTACTGAAGCTCTGTACAGGAGCTAAGCAGCTTTCCTGGCTCTGGGTCCCCCAGGCTTGGCTCTACAATGACACACTGGCCCAGAAAGATCACCACACTGTACGACCTACTCCATCTCCTCTTACTTACCCACACAATATCCCACCAGGTTGAGATACTGCTCTTCCTTGCAGCTAGTCCTGCACTTTCCACTGGCTAGAGTCGCGTGGGGATGGCAGGTTAGGCACTCCAGATCAGAAGGGCCGTGGCATGTCTTGCAGGATGGATGACAGGCTGGGTAAGACAATCAACACTTGTTGTTACGCTCTTGGTATAGTCCACCTTACGCTCTCCCCTCCTCAAAAAGCCAAACCCTATAATAATCATCTACAAAACACAGACATAAAATGATCTCATAGCATCAGTGACTGTAGAGTTGTGGCTTGGAAGGCTCTTACATCCTCATTTTGAATAAACAAGATGAGAAATGAGTTGTCAATTTGAAAACATGATCTGTTCTCTGCATTAATCAAGGTATAGATCTATACAAAACATAAAATACGAAGAGATTAGCCCTTTTATTCCTCTCTCTACCACATGCTTGTGTGCATAAGAGTGGTATGCACAAGGGAGAGAAATTAAACATCTTGGGATTGTATCAACATTATAGTGGCATGAGTTTGGTGTTCACAAGTAGAAAATCCAGGAATGATTTCTGCACAAAGCCCTCCCAGACCAAAACCTACGAAACCTGAATGCCAGGCCAGCTCATTAGCTACCCTGCCTGCTAAAAGCTCAACAAAAGGACTGCAGATAAAGTTGTTAAGACTGCTCAAAAATATTTCACTCAGACTGCTTTTGTATCCTTCCACCTTCAAAAACAGATGCCACGTTGCCATGATTTCCGTGCTGCAGATTTGAGGGAGACAGAAATACTACAGCTAATGATCAGTAAAAAAAAACCCAAAACCTTAAAAACTACTTTTAAAGCTCTGTTATGAATAAAAGCACACAACTTAAAAAATCTCCCACCTCAGGACTCTCCCAGGCCACACACAATTGCCCACTCCCCACATGGACGCTGGGTGTTTAAGACCAAATGTGTCATGTCCCAGCACCTTTCTCAGCTTCTCAGAAATCACGCCCACGAATCCAGACTTCAAAAGGAAGACTCAGTTTTCTTAGACACACCTGTATTAACTGAGCATCGCTGTTCAAAACCCACAGGAGATGTAAGCTGCCAGCAGACAGAAAGATGCTTCTTTCCTGACACTGACATTTTGTTTCTAAGACATTTACATAAGCTTCAAACTGCATAATGCAGCATGCAGCAGTTACCTCAGCTCTAAGGTGGCAGTGCACAACCTCAAACTTGATGAATCTTTACAATAGCTTGCCAAATAAATGTATTTATAGAGTTGTCCCTTGGACAAATAGAGTAATGGACTTTAGAAGAGGTTTCTCTCTCTAAATTTGAGGCCTTCCAGGGAAGCAACCAGTAAATTTCTCCCTCTGCCAGAACAGATAGATGGATGCCTGACCCAATGAATTGATTATAAAATAGGAGACAACTTTCAGTTGACCTTGAAGGGACTCATCAGATTTCAAATGCCTGCTTTTCCTCACCCATCATACTTAGCAGTTCATAATGAACAGCATACCCCCAAAACCACCATTTTTTCAAGGGACAAACGGGATTTAATCGTTGCAGTCACTCAGAAGGTCAGTAATCACATTCACCTGTGTAGATGAGCTCAAACAAGCTGAAGAAAGACCACTTGCAGACTGGTGGGCAAGGCTGAGGCACGAATAAATAATGCTGTCCCCACTATTGATCAGGCATATTCATAGAGTAATGGCTTTTCTCCCCTATCTGCAGAATTCCTTCCTTCTACACTCAGCCCTATAGCCAGGAGTGGATATAAAATACAGGTAATTTATACGGACAATATGCTTATCTAGCCTAATAAAAGCAGACCATTTTTCAGTGTTGCCTGGTAAAGGCTTTTTTCTGTAGTGCACTGGCTAAGAACATCATCTGAGCCTACTGAAATGAAACACAAAATATCTTCAGGGAAACAGTCCACAGGAACAAAATTGATTATAATTTATGATTCAGTGTGTACACCTCTCTCCCATTAGGAGGAGATTCCGTTTCCTGAAATTGGACTATCCTATTCTCCCCTGAAAATACTTAAATAGCCTCATATAAATCTGACAGCACCTCTAATTACATTGAGAAATGCACTACAAAACGTGCACACAACAAAATTCAGCAGTATAAGATGCAGGTGCCTGCATTATGCACTCACAGTAGCAGTGATCTTTGTGGCTGAACAACCCCTCTGGGCACTCAGAGAGGCATCTGCCTTCAAGCAGGACGTGGGAAGACAGACAAGCCGTGCAGTCCTGGGAAGTGTTCCCCACGCAGGCTGCACAGGAGGGATGGCACTCTGCAGGGAAGGCAAAAACAAGGTGACAGACAGGCAAATTATTTCTAGCTTATTTTGGTTGTTACTGTCCTAAAGTATGGCTAGATTGCTTTCTCCCCAATGAAAGTATTTCCTTTAGAGGATTCTCTGCTTGTGAAAGGTTGAAAGGGCAGGAGTACAAAGGTTGTATAGCATGCTTCTTCAAGATAAGGAGCAAGCACAGACAGCTGCATATTTATTCTTCCTTTGCATCCACACAATTCATTACTGAAACTGTGCTGAGATGTACAATGCTGTGTAATTCCATTCTCACTAGAACTGTGGGGGTCTAGAAACTTACCATATTCTGAAATCAACTTTCACTATCACCCTGCCGTTACTCTGGGAAGGAGTTTCTATCCATCATCACTGCATGGTTATCATCAGCCATTCTGGAGCAGTAAGAGCAAATATACACAGAGGTGGGCTGCACACTTTACAGCTAGTGAAGTGGACACTCATTACAAGGACGATTCAGCAAGAATGAAAAGAGTGCAATTAAAAAGTTAGACTTCACTTTTACTGGTACTGATGCTAAACCAAGCCATCGTAAACTAAATAACCTGATTAACTGAATGAACTCATTAGTTAAAAACCTTGTTTATCAGAGTAGTGACTCGAGGCACATGGTCTGTGGTGTGAGTCTTCACTGAACATAAAGAAAGACTTCCTGCCCTCTAGGAAGAAAAGACAGACACAGGGCTGGAAAGAAGAAATGAAATGGAATGAAGTTATCTACACAAGTACACTCAGCTGTCTGTAAGAGAGGCAGGGAGAGAAGCTGGCGATCTTCATCACAAATGCAACATCTCCACAACTCTCTTTGGCTCAAGTGACTCAAACTGTATCAGGGAGAAACTTCTTATGGTTTCATCAGGGAAATTTCAAGCATTAGAGAAATATAGAGATATTTATTTCTGTTGTTTGGTGAGAAATTCCCAACCACACATGTAAAACCTTCAAATCCAGCACTTTAACCCGCTCCTGTTTGACACAGCTAGTGCAGGCAAGGTATACATCTGTTGTGGGTTCACTTTCTCAAAAAGGTGCAACTACGAGCTTTACCTGAGTATTTTACAGGGGTAGCTCAAAGTTTGCAGTCTTGAATCTTCATACCCTTCTGCAATAAATCAAACTGCTATTGTAATGCCATTACTATAATGGCAGAGCTAATAACACATGGGCCTGTGCCGGCATTCTTGCCCACTGGCATAATTCAGCACTGCCACTGAACTCTGCTCAGACCTGTTTGTACAGGTCTGTTCACCCACCTGAGGCAGTGCTATATGGATTTCTTCACTCTTATTTCTATACTATAACCTGGACTCAGCCAAGAAAACCCATTAGATGCCAGGGGAATCTGAATGCCAATCTGAATGGATTGGAGGCTTTACACTAATGCCTTCAGGTATTAATTCAAAGCATTATGGTCTGTGTAGGTTACTGTTAAAGACAGAATCATTCCACCCCCCCAAAAAATGCCATCTCTTCCTCCCTTAAGATCCGTTAAGGCAAAAAAATTAGCTTGTACAGACACTTTCCCCTGAGTTGAGATGAAGAGATAAAATAAAAACAAATGGATTTGAAATTCTGACCACTTGTACAAGATGTTTTTTCAACACAAATAAACAGCCATCTGTAGCATTGTTGCTACTGTTACTACTATTACTTTACTTAAGCACTGTAGAGTCACTCTCTCCATTCCTGCGAGAGTACTTCCACCCTCTGATTTCCACAGGGGGAAATCCCTACCATTTCTGAAAGTATTATTTCTCCTTAGGCTTAGGGTGGGCTGTGTTGGCACAAGACGTTCAGTCTAACCTCTCAGCCTGCTTCTGTCTGCATTGTTTTCAGGATACTGCAGTATGTTTGTTGTAGCAATATTCACACTGGCTGCCACAAGCTCTGTACAGCCAGGCTGGCTTCCTGATCCACCCAGTAAAGTCTTTCATGAAGCCCACCACAGTTTTCTCTCAGAGGGGTGGGAAACCACATATATATCCCAAATGCCCACCACATTTGCCTCTTTTCCAAACTCTAGCCTTCACGGAAATGCTTCCTACTTGGTATTTCAGGACCAGTGATGGCATATATGCTGCAGGGCATGTATCAGAAGAGCATCCTCAAAAGACAAGACTGCTGTGGGATGTCTTGACCTGCTCCAAGGGCTAACAAGGAGAAAGCTCAGTCTTTTCTGAAAGGGATTTAAGGACTGACCCTGCTTCAAAATATGTCAGCGGTAAAAATCAAATACTCAACCTCAGTGAAAAGAAAGCTAAGCTCACCTAAGCCAAGCTGTGCAGACTCGAACAGTCATTTAAAACCAAAAAAAACCAAACCCTGCATCCCTTAGTCATAAATTACATGTACAGTGTATTTTCCCTCAAAAGTACTGGTATATGCCATTGTCTGAAAGTTACTGAGTTTAAACACTCATGACTCCATCAAGGCAAACACAGCTCAGATGACATAACGAGCTAACAACATACAAAATCACCCTGAACACCCAAACCCCAGTGCAGCCCTGTGGCTTCGAACAGCCATTCCCATCCTCTACTCACCTCTGCAGACTCCTGTGTTGTCCATGTAGAACTGGGCTTGGCAGTGAGAGAGGCAAAGGCCATGTAAGGCTCCTACCATAGGCTGGTGAGGCTGCAGCACATCACCTGGTGCCCTGCATTCCTGGCAATGAGAGGCCCCCGGGCCAACACAGGTGCGGCAGGATGGGTGGCAGCCTGTGCACAGGTCAAGAGAGCAGTCAGAGGCACAGCTCCAGGAAAAACACTGGTTTGGACCCTCTTGTTCTTTCCTCTTTCCAATTCTGTATTGCTGTAGACAGTCTGATACTCAAAGAGCTAGCAAAGAGCATACGCTTTGCAGCAACTCACCAGCTAAGAAATCTGTTCCATAAAGAGATGGGGTGTTGTACTTTCTATAACAGAACAGGGATTTTAAAAAGATAGCTTGACATCTTTCCCCTCAGCCCCAAATAACAGCTCTTTCCTTGAATAAAGCTGATGAACAAATAATGCTGGGAAAACCTGCAGTACCATGCCACAGGCAGTCAATTTTCCTTTAATTTCTGAACTGCAATGGGGAACACAATCTCACTAGGAGAGACAGCAAGAGATGACAGTCTGAAGGGCTCACAGAAAGCATAACTTCATCTTCCCAATTTTCAGGTTTTCCACTGCTGCAAAAATGACCTCGGTCATAGCAAACTAAGTAGGTGTGTTGTAGACTTTCATCCACCTCTTAGCTCATGTCAAGAAAACCTGGAAGCAACGTATGGTTATTTCAACAGAACAGGGGGAAGAAAAGTCCCCAGAATAAATAAATCCTGAGGGTGTGAATGCAGAAAGTATTTGAGAAAATTTGGGGTTTTTTTTCTCAAAGTAGAAAACAATCACAAGGCAAACACAATGAGGAATTACTCATTGACCAGTTATGCATAGGATAAAGGATCAGCATCATAGCTGGGTACTCTTAGCACAGCTCAACAAAAGCCAGTATAGGTACACTGGTTTACAGCAGCTGAGGAACTTACTCCAGGTATGTAGCTTACCCTTGCAGACATGATGATCCTGGTAAAAACCCTCTCCACAGCTCTGCAGGCACTGGCCCCACCGCAACACCAGAGGAAAGGAACAGGAGGTGCAGTGAGTGGCCAGACTTCCCTCACATGTGGAGCATGAATCATGACAAGCTGACAAAGAAACAAAGTACACAGATCTGAAACATCCTGGGTTTTCCCTTGATTTTTTTCTCCTTAAGATTTTTTTCTATCCTCCTTGAGTGTTGCTGACTACGGCCCCCTCCAGCCAACAATCACAATTCCCAGCTGTCATGATATTGGGCTACGCAAACTAAAGAGAGCAGAAGTACACCTGTATTAATAACTAGTAACAGTAATAACTGTCACTCATACGGTGTTTTGAATATGAATCTCAGTGTGTCTTAATATGCTTCACAAGGCAAGGAGCTGACAGCCTTAGGAAGAGTCATGCAAATACGCCTCTTACCTCTGCATCTTCCATGGCTACTTGGGAAATAGCCAGCCGGGCACTCTGAAATGCACTTCCCATCATGTAGGAACTTATCTGAAGCACAGGTCAAACATCTGGGTTGGTCTGAGTAGCATGTTTCACAGGACTGGTCACAAGCTGCCCAAAAGGATAGCTCATTAATGAAATGCACTCAATGAGCAAAGAGCAACAGAGCCACCAACATGGCCACATAGATAAAATAAGCCGAACCATGTCTTGTCCCAAAGAAAGACACCTTTAAACGTTGCTATCCAGCACAAGTAACATTTCACACTTCCCTGGAATAAGTAATGATATTCATGGAAGTAGATGTGTGAGTGCAGACAGGCTTCCACTGACCTGTATCCCGTCTAGGACTCTGAGTAAGTAGAAATACCAGGAATGGGTCTACACCAGTGCTCCCTTCCATCCTGACATAACTCCTGCAGCCAAGGCAGTATGTTTTTCCTGCTCACCAACAGTTTGTGAAGAGACAGCACCATTCTGAATGATTTTATGTATGAAAACCACCTCATAACTCTTTGTACAACTAGCATCAGTTACCGGACTGTTCAGGAAGTAAAAGGTGGAGGAAAAGTTGGTTAAAAAAAATGTAAACCCCCCCTTTCGGCAAGTCAAAGTTTTAAGTGTGAAAGTGCATCTAAATTCAAGCATGACAAAGTTTCTTACCAATTCCTGCAGTCTGTATTTTCCCAGGCAGTCAGTTCCTCAGATAACTGACCTGTTACCTAAGAGCACTATGAACCTCTGGCTTCCCTAAGTCAGCAACACTAGTGCTGCTGTATATTCACAAGAGCCAAGCATTTTACTGAAACCATTTGTGTTTCTTTTCACCAAATGGTCTGCCCTCTTAAAACAGCTTACACTTCTCCGGTTGGGTATCAAAATGCATGTTTTTGGTAGAAGATGCAAGGCCTCAATCCTGGAGGCTGTGAGGAACAGCTACGCAGTTTTGAGGAAATCCCTGGCAATGAAAATCAACATTATGGTCAAGCTGCATCTCAGTTAAATTTTCTTTCGAGCTTAAATGATTTTCAGCTACAGATGTAAGATTTCAAGCCTGGACACTTCCAAACACAGGTGACTAATATTTACTGGTATAGACATCAAACCAAACTGAAGAGGAACCTGGCCAAAGTGAAATTCATCCAGAAGTGGTCAGAACAGCAATAACTTTGTCAAGACCCTCCAAGGTCTGAAGCCCTCTATAGCTAGCTGTGGCTCAGACCTGCATGAAGGCAGAAAATCCCTATGTCATCTCTACTGACTCCGCAGGACAGTCCTGCAAAGCAGCCGCCAGGAGGTGGCTGCCAGCAAACCCCAGACTTGACCTGAATGGCTGTGGCAGATTTTACATTATTTATTTATTTGAGATTCTTCCCCCCTTTCATTATCTGTTTGACCTAGGTCTTTTAATTTCCTCCAGCCATCTCTTCCCCTTTTCTCAGCAAACCTTCCCAGCTCCCCAGTCTCATCTGTTGTGCAGGTATTAGTTACTGTGATGCTGAATTATAATCAAATTTACAGAAACCTGCTGGCAAAAGCCATTTTTCTTCATGCAGACAAATGGATTTGTCAAGCCCTGAGAAACAACTCAGTTAGGCTTTCAAGCTGTTCAGTGAGGGGGAAAAAAACCTTAAACCTTTCAGCATCTGATTAACTTAAATGAATTAATAATCTTACAAACGGCAGCTTTCCTCATCTGATATTTATGCACAAGGTGCATCGGCCTTCTTAGACGTGAGCAAAACCACAGCTGCTGCACAGCTAAATGAAATATTGATTCCTTTTTTGCAGAGCACTTCTCAAACTTCTTGCAATTGGAGGAAGAAAACAGGTATTTACCACTGCAGATTCCACCCTTGGTATAAAATCCCCGTCCACAGCTGGCCACGCAGAGCCCTGCTTTTACCATGTGTGATGGGTCTTTGCAGGCCAAGCAGTTGTTCTCAGCAGCACCCCAGCAAGAGGAACAGGACTCGTGACAAGCTGCAGGGAAGAAAGGTGCAGGATTAACAAACAATCACCTTCCAACCATCTCTTTAAAATGAAGAGTTTGCAGTAATCCACTTTCTTGTGCAGTTCTGTTCCTTAAATTCACAGGCATTCCCTGCTTCAAAAAAGGAGAACAAAAAAACGTCGTTAGTACGTTTTATCCCAGCCACCTCAGGGGTACCATTTATAGCTTAATTTTGTACGTGCAATATGACACGCAGTATGATTACATGTAGCTGTAATCAGACTAGAAGGAGTGTTGGTAACACTGTTAAATCCTGTTCATCCTGGTGCTAGGGGCTGTACAAGCACAAAGGGAAAAGGGAAAAGATCCCATCACATGCTACTTAAAAAATGCAATCAGATCTTTGCAGTGATTACTGACATTACCCCAGCTTCATGTACAAACACAGAATTAGGCTGCAGGGCTGCAATCAAAATCCTACTAGATTAAAACCAAGAGAGCCCACTTCCAGAAACAACTTCTGCCCTTCCAGGACTCTGAACGGGAGCAGAAGAACCGATTTCTAGCTGTTGGTTGATCTGGTCAAGTAGGGCAGAAGGCAGAAATCCTGACATGATCAGACTGAGTAATTCCTGGGGAAAGGCAGGAACTGGGTAAAGGTCTGGTACAGCAGGCACTGCCTATCTTTTCCTTGACATTGCCAGCAGAAGAGAAGGGGCATTCCGTCATGGAGTTGAGATACCAGGTACTTTTCTCTCCGGGTGAGCCATGGTTGGGATGCAGTAATATTTTGGGTATTCCTGAAGTATATCATGTTCCTGCAATGCAGGCAGGATAAATGCCCTCTCTGTGGCATTTGGGTATAGGAACACAGAGGCAGAACAAAGTGATCCTCAAGCATGATCGTATCATAGAATCACAGACTGGTTTGGGTTGGAAGGGACCTTCAAGCTCATTTAGTTTCATCCAGTTCCAACCCCCTGCACAGGCAGGGACACCTTCCACTAGAGCAGGTTGCTCCAAGCCCCTGTGTCCAACCTGGCCTTGAACACTGCCAGGGATGGGGCAGCCACAGCTTCTCTGTGCAATTTGTGCCAGTGTCTCACCACACTCACAGGGAGGAACTTCTTTCTGACGTCTGATCTACATCTCCCCTCTGTCAGTTTAAAGCCATTCCCCCTCGTCCTACCACTCCAGGCCCTTGTAGAAAGCCCTTCTCCAGATTTCTTGTCAGCCCCCTTAGGTACTGGAAGGCTCATTTACAATTAAACTATTAACTATATGGAGATCAATTCTGCCTCCCCAAAGAGCTGTTGACTGAGCCACCTTATTACCTTATTTGAAGCTGTACAAGTTCTGCTGTGAGGGAAATTCAGTCCACTGTGGCTCCTGCTGATGGAATCCATGACGCAGACTCATATTAAACCCTGTGCCATCAGTGCTTGCAGGAACTGCAAATTACAGTTCTTGTAGCTATTAGATTTCTTTCTCAATTACACCCAAATATGTTCCAAAGATGTTGTTACTTTATTATTTCACAATAAGGCAGGTACCTGCTTGTGCTCCCAGACCAAGGCAGGTGAGCGAAATCAGAACTTTATGACATTTACCCTCTATCCACAGACATGTTGAAAGTTGCAGCCACAGAAGGAAAACTCATGTCTGATTAGTCTCAGTGTAAGGAAGGAAAATAGCAGCTCAGCCACATAACTAAGAGCACATTTACACACAGAACAGTGACAAAAGCAAACACCTTCCTGCCAAATAAACACTCTAAGTGAGAGACAATTCATCCTCTCCCCAATAAGAAGGGAAATTTTTTGCCATAAGTAAGTTTACAGCAAACCAGTGATCACCACTACTTGAACTCACTCCTGTTTTGCATGGTTTCTACGCTTCTTCTGTCTGCTTCAGGCCATGGTTACTCTTGGATATGACATGAGATGGAGCACCTATGTTTGTGCTTACATATGAGTTGCACTGCACAACTTAACATAAACACCCCAGTTTAGTGGATGCCACTGCTCCTCGAGGCAGGGAAATGTTATTACCTCCATCTCCTATGTACAGAATTGAAACACAGAGACAGGACATGACATGCATGGGGTTAGAACAGGGAGCGTTCAGGGGGTCAGAACAAGGGACATTTGACTTCATGCCGAGCACACGGTCCTTTGATATTCTGGATGTTCCTTCTCCACACTTCCACCTTCCTTTATTTTCCCTTTTCTCATCTTCTTCTACTGCCTTGTAACTAGCTGTTTGCTTTCCCCCTTCTCACCTTGCTGAATCTTTTTTCCCCCCACCTTATTCCCGATCTCTCCAGAATGCTGTGGCTCTCCTAGCTCCTGAATAGTTTTATGTGAGGAGTGTCTCATAAGGATGCTGGGCATCCTGTACCTGGAAGGATCTTCCCCCTGAATCCTACCGCAAGTGCCATCACCACCTATCAAGCACATCTAATTGTGGTTGAATCAATCACAACACAATGTTGTTTTCAAACACAGTGTTCCAATTCCAAACATCCCATCTCAAGGTAAAGATTGTACACACTTTTCTACTCCAGTTAATAATTTCCCTTGCTGATAAAAAGTTGCATCTCATTCCAGCTTGGATGATTCTCAGGGCGTGTCTACACTCAAAAGTTAACTGCAGAGTTCATGCTGCAGATTCTTAAGTACTCAATGTCCTCACTTCACCTTCCAGATGTGAGCATTTTGCTCCTCCCTGAGCTCATTCTAACTTTCAACATCTTCTTGAAAGAGTGAACACCAGGACCTGGATGCTCTAATGATAGACTTCCTACTGCACAGCTCAACCCTCTTGCTGTTAACCTGCCTCAGTATGTTGACACATCAACACACCCAGTTATGTTCAAAGCTCTCAACTCCTCTCTGGAGATGCTGCTCTTTTCCCAGAGACACTTTTCTCTCCTGTCTGCCTGGCTCCCAGGTTCCGTTTTTAAACAGTCAGCCTTGCACACAGCTGTATTAAAAACACACTTTTGAAGATAGCCAGGTCAGTTGGGCAAATGTGCTTCAGCTCCTGCCATGCACCGTTTGCTGCCTGCACTAGACCAAGTGCTCCTGAGTACTTCCTCACCTCATTCCCTCAAGCAGCTGCCTCAAGCACACTCCCAGTGTCATACTTCTAGTGGAGAATCTTGCAACAACCAGACTGTAGCCAGATAAGGATGCAAACCAACACAGTCTACAGGCTAGAGGAGTTTAAGATCTTATTTCACTCCCTTTCTCCAGTTCCCAGTGGCTCTTATTGGTCCTTGGCAAAGATCCTGCAAACCTGCTGCTGGGCATCAGAGCCGCTTTCAAGTCTTGTAGTGAGGCAGCTGTTGTGTCAAAATTGCATGTCTTCCTAGACAGTGGATGACTTGTGTGGTATCTCAGCTACAGAAAGGCTACGGAGAGATGAAGTACAACCGACCATCAGACCTTCTGAGAAGCTGCAGTGAATTTGGCAAACTGATGTGAAACAGACCCTCTGGACTTCAAGCTACTAGACAGAGTCCAGGCCCAAATGGCTTCTTTGGGACAGAAATGGACAAAATCCAAGTAGCAGAGCTTGGAAGAAAGGAAGGAAAGGAGAAAAAAAGCAACCTGATTTTTAGCAAGAGAGACACATTTAGCATTTGGAAGCAGCGCAAAAGAATTAAGGACCAGTAACAATTTCCTCAGGTGAGCCAACAAAAAGAAATGCTTGCAGCAAAAGACTCAGGTCTAATGCACTGCTCCAGTTACCAAGCTCTGCTCCGCAAGCCCTCCCCATGAAGAGCCTCCCTGGACTCATCCAACACAGCCATTTCTGTATGTGAGGTGGCAAGTGCCTCCAGGAGTTATCACCTGCCAGTCTCCAGGTGACAGACATGCCCGGCCTGATTCATGCTCCTACAGATACAATCCTTCACTTCTCCTGCTTGCAGCGACACATACCAGGCAATTCATTTTCAGATGTCTTGATGACTTTTTTTGTCACAAGTCCAGCAGCTACTAAATCCCAGCCAATATCTCCACTCTGCCATCAGATGGTACAACTGCAGCTGGAACTGTACGCAATGGGCCCCCAGGACCTGGGTTCATACAGCTGGAAGAGCAGCCTCAACCCATTTCTGCCCTGCGTGGCTCCACACTCCAGTGGCTCCTGAGCCAATGGGTCTTTTTCTCTCCTGTCTTACTTAGGGTGTAATGAAGTGCCACAAGTCCAGGCTTTTGGAAGATGAGAGGTCCTACAAAGTGATGTTTCTGTTCTTTCATGATTGGCCAGAAGCCACAGAATCAACTAAAGATCCACTCACCAAACTGTGTGCTATCTGCACCAGTGCCAGTGTGACATTCCTAGGTTTGATGACAGCAGGAGGGCTAACAGGTATCCCAGCAAGAACACAGGAAGAAGTCCATGCTTGGCTTTGGAAAAGCACAAATGGGGTCCAACCACGCTATGCCAAATGGTACCATTAACCACCTCTAACCTGCCCTCCCCACCGTGAGCTGGGCAGGCTCAGCTCAGTCATGTTCCGTGTTCATCCTCGAGGTGACCCCCAGCAGCCAGATACGGCAGAGAAGAGCAGGTCATGGATAAAAATCCAAGAGCTTTGCTGCAGAGTGAGACGGATCTGTTAGTGTCAAGTTACACATTTCAACATTCACGTTTTGGGAGATCAAAGCAGAAACACTTGAGTTCTACCTAGGCTTTTGAATAATCTTGAAAACATAAATAATTAAGTCAGAAAAATGCACTGAGAGCGCTGAACACTGCAAGTCCTTCGAGCCTCTCTGTTGACCAGGCAAGCATCTTTTAGTTTCGCTTCCCTTTGCTTTGCCTTTGGTGGGGGATTTCTTAACTGTTTCCACAGCTTATTTCTGACACCACTCTGCTCAGAGCCTGATACGCACTGATCCATGATTGTCAAATACACTGCTATATAACTGAACCTATGACCTTTTATCCTCAACTTTATTTTCTCTTAATGGTTTTAATACTTTACAGAAGCAGGTGAAGGGACGAGAGCAGGAAACAACCCTGGCACAGAGATCAAACAACTGTATTCTGAAATTCAAAATAGATTCAATTAAACCAGATGTTATGAAACATGGGCAAAAAGAAAGACCAACTCATTGTACTTTGTTACAACGCAGCCAACACCGTTTCAACAATAGGATGGAGTAAAAAGCTTGGTCTTACAAGTCTTTTTCATCTCCAAAGCAAATTTCTCAAGAGGGAGTTTACTGGAACTATAGCAATGAGCACAATCTAGTTCATTCTTTTTGTGCTTTTGGGATGTGCTTATCGCAGATGTTAAAACCATTATAAGAAAAATATTTCTGAGCAGTCCAAGGGTCATTCAGGCACTCAGAATAGAGATTTGTAAAAACAAAGAGAATACAAAGAAAGAGTGAATGGCAATGAATTATGGACCATATCTGAAATTTAAGACTTTCTCCACTGGTTTGACTTTATGCAGAAAATGCAGCCAGGCAGAACTAAAGCAAATGGGTTTAATTCCCCTGAGGAAAGAGGAGCAAATTTTCCCAGCAGCTTTCAGCTACAAGCATGCGTGACTGCAAATTTGGATGGAATGTACAATCAGTAATCTATAAACCAGTACTAAAACAAAACATTAGCCTTCCCCTACTGCTTCAGCAGTACATGGGCACTGCCAATTAAAACACCAGGAGCAGGTGGAAAGGAAATGGTAAAATAAAAACAAATGAAGTAGAAGATTATGTGATACTTAAGTCTATAAATTCTTTTGGACTGGGTCTCTTTTCTATTTATACATGCACAATGGGGCCCCAGTCTATAGTCACTGCTGAGGGACAGAGGTTTTTCAGACTTCCAAAACCTGAAAGAAATGGTCAGCTCTTCAAAGAAAACCACTTCAGAAAAGGAAGCCAGACTTAGAATCCAAAGTGCTTTCCCCTGAAATCTGCCCAAAGCCCTAAGCCTATATTTCATTTTAAGCAGGAGGGCTAGTTCCAAAGAAATTAAAGCATTGGCTCAAGAAGTTAAGCATGTGCTCCACCCCTTTGCTGAACTACAGGTGCAGAAATAATTCGAAGCTTTTTAAAAAAGGCCAACATCAAGAGCAAAAAAGTGTTAACTTTAGAGGAAACAATTAAACTGCCATGATGGAAAAGTAGCTGCCTTACAGTTTCGGAAAAGTACACGTATTTCAAAAGAGCAAGGGAAACTCATAAAAGCACTGACATAGTTCCATCAAAGAGAAAACTGTAACTTCCCAATCTTACTCTCAGTCTTTCCAATTACTAAAATATAGGATTTAGACACATCTCAGCATTTTATAGTATTACTAATTCACTTTCTAAACATGCTTTTTGAGAACAGTCGTCCTATCAACTTTCATGAAGAGCGCACCATATGAAACAAATATACTGCAGAACAAAGCAAAAACCTCCCAAAAAGTATTTTCTGTGAGCTTTTCTGAGTCCTACCAAGCCCCAATCCCTCCAGCACGTTTTCTATGCCGCTCAAAGTACCATCTCCTGAAAAGTCTGGCATTAGCTGCTGCAGTTAGCCTGGACTCAAAGAAAACCCCCATGGCTCAGATTGCCAGGCATGGCTCAGAGTGTTATATCCTTAGTAAAATCAGTGCATGCAGCTTGCTCTGTACACCCTTAACACCACACAACCCACAGTCACATTTCCAAAAGAGAATTCTGAATTGAAAGAGGACAGTGGTAAAAATTGGCAGTGTTCAAAAGCAGAGAGTTTTAGACCAACAGCACTGATCCACTGAGGATTTTTAACTAATATTTCTCCAACCAGTAATCAGTTTTACACTGCATGACATCATAGTTCCTCTGTTCACTCCTTCCTTTACTCTAGTGTGAACATTAACACCTATGTCAACAGCAGATCCCTCAGCAGAGAGTATATCTAAGAGCTTGGGTATAGCTTTTGTCTGCTATTTTGCTATCACAAAGCACTGCAGTCTTTCTGGCTTGGACTTACCTGTGCAGAGTCGCTGATCCTGAAAGTATCCCTTTCCACACGAGGTCACACACTGCCTGTTCCTCATGAGCAGCGGTGCCTGGCATGAGGAGCACTCAAATCCATTGGTACAGGTTGAGCATGACTCATTGCAGACTTCCAAGAGAAAGAAGAAAGATCAGAGAATCATAAATCATATACTGGTTTGGGTGGGAAGGGAGCCGAAAGCTCATCTAGTTCTAACCCCACTGCTACAGACAGGGATACAATGGACCAGGTTCCTGAAAGCCCTGTGGCCTTGAACACATCCCAAACATCTTGATGCAGCAAGACTCCCCTGCTCTGATACAAGGGAACAATTTTGCCTCATTCTGACAGGTAAGTTTGAGAATTTGCACTTTTCTGGGGCTCCTACCTGGAAACCTCAAGGCCACGGTTAATACTCAGTACGTGCCTGAATGCTTTTCCAAACAAAGCCTGGCAATCTTATAATAAGCCTGTGAGATCTTACAAACAAGAGCACAGCATGCAACAGAGAAGAAAGTCATCTGACAGGATATAAGCCTTTGCAGAAATTACCTAAGCAAGCACCCCCATCCTGGTAGAAGCCCAATTCACATATCTCCACACAGCGCCCATTCTGCAGCTGCTTCCTTGGGTCACGACAGGCATTACAGTGATCAAAGGAATGAGAGCAGGTCAAGCAGTCTGGGTGGCACTCAACTGGCACAAAAGAAAGATACAAAGGTAAAAACCATCAGCAGTGTTTTCAGTCAGGAAGGCACAAAACAATGCATAATCCAAAATCAAACTGAAATTCATTACTTATTTCTATTGGTGATTTAACGTGTGTTAGTTTTGGAGTAGATTTTTCTTTCCATGATTGCATAAAGCGGGCTAAATATTATATTGCTGTATTCTAGCATGGGAGAAGTTATTACACAGCTCAGATTTTCTAGGCTATTGATAAACAGGATATTCATTGTCCACATGGTTTCTCAGCAGTAAAAATCATAAGTCATCAGGAATTAATTGTCTGAAACAACGTGAACTGGAGTTTCCTTCAGTCAAACCCTGCAATAAGTCAAGGCTCTGTCCATGACAGGCCAGAGTACAGGTGGCAAACCACTCCCCCTCCAAAAAAAGGCTTTGTGTCAAAGTACCAGAGCAAGCATTTCATGGCCACAGGCACTTTTGCAAATGACACGGCTGCTTTGTTTGCAGAGGCCAAGGAAGGACTTCTTTTGCTTTACTACTGAGCTACTTCAGCTTGCTGGAAGAAAAGCTGTCAGTTCCTTCCCAGCAAGTCAGCAAAAAAGGATCCCAATGCTGAAAACTCTCCTTCAATTACACTAAATAACCTGCATGTTTCCAGGGAGATGTACCTCAGGGAAGAATTTGGAATCAAAAGCTACAGAAGACATACAGTTGAAGATAACAATGAATCCAGAGTGATAAACAGGAGGAATATAGGAGGCTCTGTCTCTATCCTTTTCTTTCCAATGACTTTCCAAAGGTAAGTACAGCCCCATCCTTCCAGTCTGACAATGAACTGACTACTTGGAAAGGTACAGAATGGGCAATTTTTCTCTAGATACAAGAAAAAATTCCCTCTGCTTCAACCCAAATGTTCCAAGTGAGAGAGCATATTTGCTGGTTTTAACATAAATACAACTGTGCTCAGGGCTATATGCTTTACACTGCCTGAGAATGAATGGGTTCTCTCTGCCTGCTTCCCCCAGCACATCTGCAAGAAGCAGCAATAAATTCGTACAGCTTTAACGAAGCAGATGCATTAGGGACTGATGCTCTGGGCTCACAGATTGAACTGCTGCAGGCTGGATTTTGCATTGGTTTCTCATCCCCTGCGATGCAAACCAGAAAAAGACAGAGCAGAAACCAGCAGGCTTCGGTAAAAGAAATTTCCATTTACCTTTTAGGACACAAAAGTGCAAGTTTAGCTCTGGCTGTCCAACACCATGATTTCAAAGCCTGTATTTTCTAAAATGCTACCATTACGGAAGCTAAACGAAGAGGGCAGATTTTCAAGGGTAATCAGTACACAGTGGCACTTCTTGATAAGAAGGAGAACAGAGGGGTGCTGAGAGCACTTTATAATCTGTCCCCTCCTTAGGAGCCTGAGCAGATGCTGTTCCCTTTCGAAAATCCAGGACAATTTTATCTCAACTGCCCAAACCCCATTTTCCTCACTTTTCAATTTGTAGTGCTTTGCATTTTTATTAGCATGCAGTAAATAACAAGCTTTAAAGCCTTAATATGGCAGATGTGCTAAGGCCCTCCTGCCAATGACAGCATAATTAAACTGTGAAGCTATTTTCTTTTTACTGAGATAAAACATTAACCAGAGCACTCTGATAAAACCAAAGTTATATAAATGAAAAAAGAAGAGTCACCAACGTGAAAAGGTAGTAAACCATACCTAAAGCCTGTGAAATGTAAGTCAAGGAGAATGACAATATCCTTGAGAAAATTTAATTTATATGCAAAATTAACATATAAGCTAAGGCTATCCTAATCTGTCCAAACAATTATTAACTGGCAACTATTCACATTTGGGTGAGTTTGTGGCATAAAAATGGAAGCGGGCTTGTTATTTCCACTCCCAAGAAAGAATCAGGAGTCCATAAACTCCAAAACCCATGTTACAATTCAGAAAGGAGCAGTCCCCTGCTTTGTAAAACTCATGTTGAAGAGAAAACAGAAAACCAAAACATTTCCAAAACACCAACCCCACAAGGAGAAACTCTTTTGCCAAAAGAAAGCTGTCATATATACGAGGGGCAACCAGTGGGAGCCTTTGGATGAAGCCTGAACCTCGCTAAGAATCCTAATGATAGGAACCTACAAACCCTAATGATTTACAATTTATTTTATGAACCCTAATGATTTAGGGTTCATAGATGATATGGAAACCAGTTAAATATGATATGGAAACCTAAATGATATGGAAACCAGTTAATTAGCACCTGAAAACTGAAGACAAGGTACAATTCAATGCAGGCCCTGAGGAAGCGAAGACCACAGGGATGGCAGAACAACCCTGTGCCAGAGGTGTATGTGACACACACTAACATGAGTGACAGTGAGGAATGACTGACCCTGGGGCTGTACCTGGCTTGCAGTGCAGGCAGCAGTCATCCTTCACCTCAACAGCCAGGCTGCCCAGCGGGCAGGGTGGGCAGGAGCGCTGGAAGCAGGTCACCTCTGCATCCCGGCATTCACATTCTCTGCACGGCCCTTCTGCCCATTTCTCTCCGTTCTGCACAAGAAACACACGACAGTCAGCATCAGCAGGGAAGCAGAGCCTTTGCACAAAAGTGTTTGTACATGCATGGAACTCTCTGGGTGAATTGCAGGGCTACATCTGTGCCAGTAGTAAATTAAACATTTGTGGGGCTGTTTCAGCACTGAGGCCTGCCGACACAGGACTCTCTGCTTCCGTGTTGTTAACCCTCCTGACCCCTTTGCCTTTCCAGAGTAAGACAGCCTGCAAAGTGCTTGCTGAGGAGTCCTTGGCCCGTGAAAATCTGAACACATTCCCCCTCAGCACTCCCTCCAAAGCATGGTGTTTTTCAGCTACCTGTAAGTCCTTTCTACTTCTTCACCTCCCTTCATTTTCATAAGATCACAGACTGGTTTGGGTTGGAAGGGACCTTCAAGCTCATCCAGTTCCAAACTCCTGACATGGCAGGGACACCTTCCCCTAGAGCAGGTTGCTTAAAGCCCCTGTGTCCAACCTGGCCTTGAACACTGCCAGGGATGGGGCAGCCACAGCTTCTCTGGGCACCCTGTGCCAGCGCCTCAGCACCCTCACAGGGAAGAACTTCTGCCTCAGAGCTCATCTCAGTCTCCCCTCTGTCAGTTTATAGCCATTACCCTTTCTGCTGTCTCCATATCAGAGGTGCTCCCAGCCCTTGGATCATCTTCACGGCCTCCTCTGGATTCACTCTTTCTAAGCCTCAAAGCATTTTATTTTCTCTCCTCCTCTCTTCTGTTGCCCTGTTTTCTAACACCGAGAACTTGCCCATACATCACAGAGATGAAGAGGTATCACCAGCTTGCTTCAGAACTACTCACTGCACCCAACACGTGTCTACTTTTACTACTCAATGCACGCCCTGTTCCCTCCTGTGGTCTGCATCCCTGGGTCCACTCGGAGGTCACCAAAGCTCAGTGGCTGAGGCACTGCTGGCACCACGTGTAGAAGTGAAAAGGCAGAAAAGAGACAGCAAACATTTTTAAACGTCGGTGAGGCTTTTGTGCTAGCTCTGCTCTTAAGAGGGATAAAGCACAAACTGGAATCAACATCTTAATATGTTTTACCTCACCTGGGTCAGAGAAGTAGATCTGAGATAAAAATGGAATGTATCAGCTTTAAAAAACAAGTATTAAACTTCTCATTTCTCACATGTGTTGGCAAACAGCAGCTATTAGCTCCAGCCCTCACCTATGAGAGCAATGAAAAGACCATTGCTAGTATATGTAAACAATGATAATTAATGTTTCCTTTCTCTTTAACTACAAAATGAAAGTTCCTTGACAATTTTAATAATGGACTTAAGTTGCAGTAAAAATTACAATCAGTGGCATACATAGCAGAAACCTATACATTGCCCCAGCTCTGTAGCCTCTACTTTATAGGCTTGAAGTGAGGCATCTTTAATTCTCTGAGATGTGCAAGAAACCTGTGAGTACATATATTAAATATTAAAGGGAAATGATTGATTATACTGCACAAAAGAAAGCAAGGCAAACTTAAATTCTGCAGCAGACACATACATTGTAAACAAGTGTGTTCTGTACGTTGTAAAAGCAGTCTGCACACAGTATTAATGAATTATTTTTCTGCTCCACTTGCAAATACCCCTCTCAGAACTGAAAAGGGAGAACAAAACTCACTATTACATGTTCCAAAGTACCAGGATACTCACAGCTTTGGTATGTTCTTTGTAAACACAGTAACTATGACTTGAAATACATTCAGGACAGCACTTCCCATCTAAGTGAATTAATTCTTCACCCTGTGAAGAGAAAGGCTGCAACAATTCAAATGGATTCCACATCGCCAAAAATACTGTGGTATGCAGAGGCAGAGCAGCTCTTGCCCTGGAATGCAATCTCCAATACCTAATTTCACCTTATCTTCTCTCCATCCTACTTTATCTCTGTAGGTACAGTTTGAAAAATGGGCCTGGTGAATACTGCAGTTGCAGAACAAACCTCGCGAAAAACCAGGGAATTCAGTAATAAGTCCATTACTTCATCCCTAAATTCAGTAGAGAATATCTCCTTTTCCTGTGGATCACCAGGATTTCACTGGACCACTGTCAAGATTTCATTGCACAGCAGCTTACCTTCATTTTGAATGTTCTACTTTTTGTCCCCAACAGAAGTACTAAGCACATGCTCTGTTTTTCCCAGATGGAAAAAGCCTGTTCTTGGTTACAACTGTACAGCTCCACAGAAACCGCTTAGCTAACTTCACTTGGAAGGTAAGAATTTAGCAGCAGGAGAAGGGAATGAAATGCCCTAATTCATCACAACTTTTTGTGTCCAAGTGGAAGCTGAATATTTAGAAAAGAGGAACACTGTCCTAGGGAACCAGGTCACAGCTCAAAAGAAAAAGCTTCAATTTCTCGAGGAGCTTTTCTGGACCAGATTCTCATGCACTGTTAACATAGGCAGGATAAGACATACTAGTCAGGAACCACACAGATGCTGGTGGCATGCTCACCAATTTTTGTCTGTGAATTACTTGAGGCTTAGATAAGGCAATAACAGCAGCAGCCACCATTAGTTTCATCAAGGTAGAACAACTAAGCCAGGCCACACTCTGGCAACCCTCATACATTTCTGAGCACAGTTCTTAGTCACTGACGACCACACACAGCCTAAATCTCTCTCTGCTGGTTCTATGCATTTCGCTCTTAAATCATTACTTCAAAATGCCATTGGCAGTGGTTGGATCTTGTGTCACTACTATGTACTATAAACTCTCCCATCCCCATCCCTGCCCACATCCCCACCCACATACATAAACACACTACAGAAAACCTGAAAACCAGGATTGTTCATCATATTCTAGGCTGAGAACACTGAAAGGCAATGATGGGCTGGGAGACAGAAGAGAGGAACAAAGATGTTCTATGCAATCTCTCTCAAACACACACACAACTCAAACACATCCAAGGCACCATAACTCTCAACTAGCTCCATTTCTTCCAAATATCAGAAAGACATTTGCAGCTTGCTGGCTGACTGGTAGTCACCCAGCACCCTGCAAGCTCTGTCCCACTGATCCTGTAGTTCCTAGGGCTGGCAGGGCTGGCAGCAGCAGTATTTCATCACCAGCCTACTCAGGTAGGCTGCAGCATCACCTGCTAGCACCCATAACCCATCTTCCTCTGAACATCCTCATGGATGTGCTTACTTAGCTGGGGTGCTGGCAAGTGCTCCAATAGGATTCTTTGATGCTCTGACAGTTTCAGTGGATTTGGTTGAGCGCATCCACTTCAAGATCCAGGGCTAACCCAGACTGCCACATAACTTGTACTTCTAGCTCATCAGTAACCTGCTGATAATGGCTTTTTGAAGATTAGTCAGAATCACCACAGACACTTTCATTTGGCAGTTGCTGCACAGGTTTGTTTGAAAGGGTTTAGAAGCTAAACCTCTATGCTCATCTAATGTTGCTCTACTGTGTCGAGCTGTCTAGGATTTGCAGTTCATATCTGTGGCCTCATTACAGTTTAAACAGGATGATGTGACCAGAAAATTAAGAGTGCCTTAATGAAGAGATGAATCCAAATTCTCCTTGCTGCACATCAGCTCTGATTTACTGAGGCAGGTAAAAAACAGACCTACAACTCAAAAAGGAAAAAGCAAAGGAAAAAGGAAATGTTTAATTTACTTTTTGAGTAAATATTTTCTTGTAATTAATTAATTAATGTGCCCTTTGCATTACTGAGGTAAACTATGGTTTAAACTTCCTCATGACTTGAAGAAGCAAGGGAAGCCATATAGAATAATAAATCCTTGGGCAAATATCTTCTATCCGGTGGGACCATAACTCTTGTCTACAACAAAGGACACTGTCTTCCTCCTTCTTCCTCTGTTTCATTCAATCCAGAATTGCAGCGGTTCATCCTCTGACAAACACTATCACCGTTTTAGATGCTCAGGCTTTAAATGGGTGGTTTCCTTTGAAAGCTTGAGTTTGAAAAATTGCTGCACACTTTTGAACACACCCCACCCCCCCAGTTTTGAACCCTACATGTTAACAGCTCCAGCTCTTCTTCTGTAAAATATCCCTGACTTTCCCGAATAATGGATTCTTTGTCCATACCTAAGATATAAGCATGAATATTAAATAATTCTCCCTACTGAGCCATGACAGCATGCCATCATCATTAGTGTAAATGATCCAATTTACAGCTATAAGCACGCAGGAAGCTGAGTGAAACAGATGCAAGTGCACAGGATTTTATGACAGCCGTGACTTTCCACCCAGCAAAATCTCCCCAAGCAGTTTAAGGTCAGATGATTGTCAGCAGTATTACACCAGTGACAAGAGTTTGGGTCCCACACTCGATGCATTTTTGCTGTTTAAAGGCAGAGTCTCAGATGTAGAAGGATATGCTTTTATTTCTAGATACATCCTCTCTGTGTGATCATCATTTGGATGACCCCACGTGTGGATTCTCACTTCTCTGAATGCTCATTAAAACAATCTAGTCCAGTGAATCTGTTATGTCCAGATTCTGGCTGGACTTCAGACACAACACAAGGGTGCTGCTACTCAAGATTTAGCATACAGGAGGAGTCACCAGAAAAGCATTAGCCACTGAGAGGGAAACTCAGGAGGCTACAGTTCCTTCCCTTCTCTTCACTGGCACTATGGAGTATAGGTATAAAGCAGGTATTAGCCTACGATTAAAACAGATGCAGTGACAAACAACACAAGCCTTATCCCACTGCAAAAAGGCAATTCAAAACACATTTATGTGTCTGTGTGAAGCATTCACCCTATCTAATGCATTTTGTACATCCACTTTAGAGTAAATATAACCTAACCTGGGGGAGGATGTGGGTGGTTAGTTTTGGAGTAAATAGCACCGGGAATAGAATAGCTTCACTTCCATGCCAAGAATGGTATGGAAAAAATGGAGGTAAGTGGAACACTGACTTGCATATCCAGATACCTTACTGAAGCCCACTGCAGCATACGGAACGAAGATAAACAGAGTATTTCTTGAGCTTTTAACTATCTCTGACCTGTATGTTTCTCCCCATGTTCAGCTCCTGGTATAGCCAGAGGTCACTGAAATCTCTGGGTGTCCAACCCTCCATTATAACAGTGTCGGAGGGAACCAAAGATAAATTAGTCAGTGATTTACACTTGCTTGCTTCACAACACAAGCCCACTACGAAGTCAAATTTGCAGAGAAGATACAAACCTTCCTCTCCTTTCCTGAGAAGTGTTTTCAAGGTAAATGGCACTAAACAAGCCCTAAGATGTCAGTTGAGAAAAAAAGAAAAGGGGAAAGAAAAAAAAAATACAAGACTTGAGAGATCCATCTTGAAACAAGAAAGCCTTTCTTACCTTGGCACACTCCACTTTGGCACACTCTGCTTCCTGACAAGTGACTTGCCCTTGATCACACACGCAGAAGTCACAGTAAGTACGATTCCACATCTCACCATGGTACCTGAGAGTGTCGTCATACAAGCAGTTTCCCCTGGAAGGCACACACTCCTGACAGCACTTCCCAGGATGCTGCACCTTGTTTTCCCCCTACAAAACATCAGCCAGCATTGAGCAGGACTGCCTGAACCTGTTGGCACAGGCACAGTGATACGGGCAGGCAAGGATATCAGATGTGAATGATTTTTAACTACCTTCTCACAGGTAACAGAGTCACAGGTCTCGCTCAGACATCTGACTTCCCCCTTGTAACAAACACATGCAGTGCAGGCATTTTTCCTCCACTGTTCACCATGCTGCTCAAAAAGAACACGAATACAAGTGTTAAACACTCTTTGTAAATCATAGAATCATAGCCAAATTCTTTCCAGAAATCCATGCTGCTTATGGAATATGATGGCTCCTTCTGCATGTCTGTATCAGATAATAAACTCTTCTTAAAAAATGCTTATATCTACGTGAGCAGCAAACAGGAAGAGGCAGATGACACTGAGGTGTGTGTCACTCATCAACTGCAAGCTACTGACATTGGTGAGGCCTATTGAATCCTAATAATTACTATTATTAGCAAAAGATGATTAGTAACAGAGTATCCCACAAACATAACCATTAAATAATGAATTAAATTAATGCCAGATGATACAATGAAAGCTATAAACACTTTGACCTTCACCAGTGCTTTCTGCTTTCCTCCTTCAAAAAAGTGTGAAAAGAAAGTGCTCAATCTGCTTCACCTTGCAAATTGCCTTTCTGCTTGCCAGCAAATTCTTATCTAGTCCTAATTTCTTTCCTCTTTTGGCTTTCCAAGAAGAAAAAAGCAACGGTTGTACTAAGCTTTCAGTGCTGGCAGAAAGTCAGATGCTGAAAGAGAGATGTGCCAGAACTTGTGAACAGCTGCCTTTTGGTGTGGTTTGTCAGAGATTACCTGGTACACTCTTCCTGACACCGAGCAGGGCTTTGGAACACATTCTGGGCAGCATTTTCCAGGAGGCGTAACCATAACTTCATCCTAAACAGAAAGCAGGAGAGACAAGCAAAGTAAGAGCATGAACAGTGAACATGGGGCTCAGCATCACTGCCTGGAATTCCAGGCGTGTGGTATCTCTGCGATAACCCACAGTCACTCAAGGCTTCATTTTGGCTCCAGTATCTGGGGTAGTCTTCAGAGCATGAGATCAGTGTAGAAAACAAAAAAGAAAGACATTTCCTTCATCTCATTTTCTGGGCTTCTTTGGATGGCAGCTGAGGTCCAAATACATAGATAAGTATATGAATATAAAATATAAAGACACACACACAAGATAAAGTACTTATATTCAGGTATACAGATACATAGAGGGGGAAAAAGTATATATAAGGCTATGTAGAGAAGCACACTAAAGCATGAGATGGAAGAGATTTTTTTTTCCTGGTACTGCCACATTTTGAGGCTTTGAATGTGTGATTTACACTCAGGCATTTGCACTGTTTTAGTTAAATACATACAGCACAACTGTCTGTACAGGTGATAAATTATGCTTAAAACTGGATTATCCTAATTTAAACTTTTTCATGACTAGTTTAAATCACATTGGAATAGGCTGGCACTTCACATCAGTATAACAGTTCCTGCATGCCCTAACTCCACCCATCCAAAAGGTGTCTAATTCTCCTGCTACAATTTAATGTACATCCAATGATCTGGAATAGTATTGTTCACCAGCACCTCCCTGCAGCCATATCAGGATGACCACCTCGGAAGAGTGGCTTGTGGGCTGGTAGTGTAGAAATGCCAAGCACTATTATCTGCTTTCTTAGCTTTCGAAGAAAGCATGGAAGACTTACGCAGACCTAAAAGAACTCTTTCATAGATTTTGGTGGAATATGTGGTAGGACATTCAGGTGCACTCCTCTGTGGAACAAGCATTTTTGAAGTTCCTCTCCCTTAACACCCAGGGAAGGGCACAGTTATCTGAAAGATGGAAGATGAGAGTTTAATACTGGGAGAATTTATGTTTTGGCTTTTGACAGGGAGTGGAGAATGAAGAAAGCAACAGAGATATAGGCACAAGCAAGAAAATGTTAGGTATGATTGAGAGCACATCCTGCTAATGTCCCTTCCTCTGGGCACCTTGGTAGGCAATACCTTGAACACCATCAAAATTTACTTTCTTCTGCATTAACTTGGATGCTCTCAGCAGATTATTCTCAGATACATCACAGCACCAACACAGTTGTTTCTGTTTCCACAAATTAAATCCTAATGATTAGCTGATTAAACATTAGTGCAATCAGTCAGCAGGTAACAGCAGTCCATTTGGAGTGGGAAAAGGGGAATCTAAAGCAAGCATAAATTTGTTTTAATGCACAGTACTTAGTCAGTAAATCTAATTGAGTATCTCAGGACAGAGCAAAACACAATTAGCATGCACAGAAACAGGTGTGTTAATGGCACAAACATCTGGCCCAGTAGTAGAAAGCTGGGTAAGAATCAACAGGAAAAAAAAAGTTTATTACTACTGTTTTTGGCTTTCTCAGGGCTACAGAGAAGTGTGCACACATTTCAAGGGAGCTTCTGGATTCATCAGTGGAGCGTGGTAATAGATTAAATAACATCTGGGAAATGGCACCCCCTAAAACATCAAGTCAAGGTCAGAATTTCCAGGGAGCCAGTTCCTGCATTTCCTTGGCACAGCATGCTGTTGTAAAAGATAACACCAAGGTGCCCAAGACAGCTAGTACAACGGGCCCAATGAAAAGAAATCCAAAAAAAGCATAGTCATACCCTTAAACATTTGCAATATAATAACAAGAATTAAAAAAATGAGTCACTTTTATAGAGCGTGGAATACCGTCCATAATCTTGTGGTGTTTTGCTTGGGTTGATCACTGCATAAGTGCCAAGAACCCATCATTTGTCCACAGCAAAGACCCTGAAGGCAAATGTCCCAGTTCTCTCAACTGGACTAAAACCGTTAAGTCACTGCTTGAGCTTGCCTGACTTATCTGACTGGTTTGGTTGATTTCTAAACACAAGCACACATATGGAACAGTGCTCTTCCAGCTGAAGTTGGTTTACATTTCTTAACTCTTTAAGTCAGAAGGGGAATTTCATCTGCATTTGATTACTTTCAACTGTATATCTAGAGTTCCTATTAAAAAAAAAATAAACAAGTTGTGGAAACCAAACTTTTCAGCTGCAAAGCAAACAGTGAAATTTGTGAAGATAAAACCCGACCAAAAATCTTGCGGTTTAATTACTTCCTTCATAGAAATAAAATAATTTCCTGATCAACCCTATGTTATTTTTTAGTATAAAACATAAAAGCAATTTCTTTAGACAGTATTGTGCTTAATTAGCCAGCAAAGGCATGATGAGAGTAAAATGGTGAAGAAAGAAGATAGCAGGGAAGATACAGCCAACATATGCATATTGACAGGCTTAACTGTCACTCCACATCATTTCTACACATCAAAATTCCCTTCTCCAAATCGCCTGCTCGTCACACAGAAGATTTGCCTGCTAATTTGTACACCTGCATGAGAAATGGCCCTGGCTAAGGAAAAGAGGACAGTCATGTGTAAGGTCCCCAGCAGGCTGATGGGTCCTGACCTTACTACACAGTAGATTCTGGCAGGACGCTGTGAAGCACTTAGTCACACCATCCCTGCAGATGCATTTGGAGCACCGACCAAAGTGCCAGTCCTCCCCGTCCTGGAACAAGTGTCCATCAAAGGAGCAAGGCTCTAGGAGATAGGAGAACAAAAGGTAATTTTCTTTTCCAAGGCCCTTTAATCCCTTTCTGTCATCCATAACCAAAACACTTATTTTGTTCCTCTAAGAATTCAAAACCCCAGTTTGTCAAAGCATGTAATGACAGTAACAGTTCCACCAGTTTTCAAGGGCTTTAGATGTGGGAGTTAAGAGCTCTGGATGAACCTCTTCCACTGGGCTTCTATGAGAAAAGATATCCAACAGCTCAGGCATTTCTGGAACTTACAGTCCAAGTCCCTCAGTACACAGGAAATATCTGCATTTTTTTTCCAGATTTTAATCTCCAAAATAAGGACTTATTAGGCACATCTGCTCACTGCTTAAAGCTCACCACTTCCTCTTGGCCTACAGATGAAGCTGTTAAAAATGTAAATATGGTAGCAGGACAGAAAGAGAATTAAGGGACACACTTGACACCAGTGTCCTCCCAAGAGAACCGAACAAGACAAGAAAAGCTTTGGACTAAAAGGAGATTTCCAATGACCTACTGCTTGGATCAACAAAGCCAGACAATACTCACCTCCATGGCCCACACATCTGGGACAGCAGGATCCCTCAGCAGTGTACTGCAGCTCTCCTCGTCCACACGTGAGGGCTGGGCAGGCTGGGGGAGTGCAGTTCACCTTCCCATGGGCACAGGAACACTGGACACATCCAGAGCTGGCCCACTGCGTGCCATGCTGCAGTGCACAACACAACCAGAGGCACAGAAAACACAGCATTAATCCAGCTGCTGATGAGACCTGTAAATAGACCTGCTACCCTTCAAGCCCTACATTAGTATTAACTTTACTCTTTTGCAGGCCCTGTCAATCCGGACACATTATAGCCCTTATTCCTGGCTGCACTACTGGGGCTAAAAGTAAGTTAATACTGGTAAAGGAGCAAACTTGGAAATCAGCCTCATTTTCCTTCCTGTTCCAAAGTGGCATCCAGCAACAACCCACTGCAAAACATCCAGACTAATGGATACATCCCCTCTTCATTACAGCTTCTGCAGGGCAAACTCTACATTTAGAGACATGTTTTCTTTAGAGTAATAGTCACCGTGGACCACAACATACACCTCGCCACAATGCCCGCCCCACATAATTAACACACTTGACTATGAGTAAAACCTCATTAGATTTGATTATTCATTAATACAGAAACAACTATCTTTACCCTGAGGGAGGATGAGGAAAAACTGGCCCCAAGAAGAAACATGTCAGTGCATTGCAACACTCTCCAACAAATAGAGGATGTTAATTTTTAGAAAACGTGCAATACTGAATTAGGCAGGGAGTAAAAAAGCTCTTGCCAGACAGAAAATACAGATTTTCTTCTATGGACCTTCTGCTTGGGGCCAGTGTTGCTAGCCAGATACTTGCAGAATGATGGTCAAGTCATAAAGCATTACAGTGGCTCACTGACAAAAGAGAAAACGTCTTCCTTGAAGAAATTTGTGCCAACCATCAATACAAGACTTTGCACTAACAAGAAAATCTTTCTAATGACCACCTCAGAGTGGATTTGGTGTGCCACAGGTAACCATAGGTACAAACATGTCTCTGATCCCTGTGGTGATGCATACCTGACTTGTGTCCCAAGAACAGGCTTACAGACAGACAGAATACAAACACTGCAGCAAAAGTACAATATAGCTAAATGCAGCAAAGCAACAAGAAATATAATGTAATGTAATATAATATTACCTAAATGTTATTATATAATATGAAGAAATATGAGAATATATATTATATAAAGAAAGATGAAAGGAGGGTGGATGTAGGGACTGTAGTGATAGGACAGGGGGCAATGGGTTCAAACCTAAGCAGAGGAGATGCAGGTTAGATATAAGGAAGAAGTTGTTCCCTGCGGGGGTGCTGAGGTGCTGGCACAGGGTGCCCAGCGAAGCTGTGGCTGCCCCCTTCCCCGCCGTGAGGTTGGACACAGGGGCTTGGAGCAACCTGGTCTAGTGGAAGGTGTCCCTGTCTGTGGCAGGGGGTCGGCACTGGACGATCTTAAGGTCCTTTCCAACCCAAACCATCCTATGATTCTATGTGCTATCCCTCCTATCCCAGTCTTTGTCTAGCTCCTAACAGATTCATGCTGGTCATGCCTCATGATGAAACAGAGGGTGACAACATCAAACTCAGGCGTAGAGCATCAGGGCCAAATATTCAAATGTACTGGGCATTTTAGCATATTTCTTAAGAACTGGGCTTGACTTCCCTCTTGTCAAGCAGAAAAGTCTGTAAGAGACCAGACACAGAACTTGGGTTCACTGTTAAGACATTGTTCTACATTTACGTATTTACCTTTTACATTTACCTATTGCTGTGATTCATTAACTACTACCCATGAATCTTTATTTTTTTCTCATCTGTATACACTTATTGTTTTGGCCTTTCAGCACCACTGGGTGAAACCACATCCTTCAACCTGCTTCTTGAATAATTCAGGATTACTAAATACATAACCCAGGTCGCACAACAGCAATCAATGTCTCCCAGCATAGATGGCTGATGAGAGAAAAGCCTTCTTTGTGGATAGCTAATATGTCAAGTTCACTGTGCTTTGCTGCCCTACTAACACTACTATGTTGTCTCAATCATCCACAGAAACAGCAAAGTGAATGAATGAGTGGGAAACTTTCTCCCCTTAAGACAAGAAGACAGATTGCTCAGTGACACATTCCCTTTCTGCAAAGCCCGATGACCAAACTGCTATTATATTACATGATTTGATCGTGATAGAATATAAGCACATCAGCTAAGCATTCTTCACTGACATAAACCAGAGAGCTAAAAACTGGAAAGGATTCCCCCTGCCAAGAAACATGACCAAGCACTCACGCTGTGGATCTGTCCTTCATGCTGGCAAAAGCCTTCAGCTCTGGAGGCACACTCAGGGCAGCACTTTTTGGAGGCTATTTGGAGCACTTCTCCCTAAGAAGAGACAAGAATCCAATAAGCACATGTGGAACAGAGACTTCAACATGAAGGTAAAGACATGGGGCCTTGCTGGACCTGGTGCTCTGTTTAGACAGTAGAAGTATGAAGTGAAATATATAATGCTGCTACACAAGATCCCTTTGTTGGGATCATATCAGTTTCCCCTATTTGACATTTTACCATCAAAATAACAGGAGAACTTATACCCCTAACAGTACAATTAGGAAGTCTCCAGCTGTCCCTTCCAACCCAAACCACCCTGTGAGTCTGTGTGAAATGTCACAAGATTTTTTTCTCTCTGTTTTCTAAAAGAAATAATTTGATTTTTCAAATTAAAAAAAAAAAAAGGTTTCCTTCAATACCATGTTTTTTAAGAGGTGGGAAACAAAATGAAACATTTCATTTAGCTTAAACCATTAAACCCTATTCAACTGTGATCCTGCTGGGGAGAAGCTGTTCTTGGTTGTTGGCTTGTTTTGGTTCACACAACAGAAATAATGTTTGCAGATTTTCCACCTACTCAACACATTGGGCACACACAGCAGTTAAGTTCTATATACAAATGTTTAGGATGCCAATGGGGATGCTTTTTGCAGAGCCTGCCTGGTTTTGTTTGTGCTTTCGTGCTGTAAACAAGATCAGCAATACTAGCATAAATCTCATAATGAGCAAACAAGAAATAAACCATGGAGAGGGATGGTGATTTCTGCCCTTGTTCATCAGGGGTTGCTTTGTGCCTGAAGGATGGCTGGATTTTTTACTTCTGAGATCTTTAATGATCCTTTTGAACATTTGAATGGCCAGACCTTTATGGAACACTTAAACTCTTTTGTCTTGAAGATCACTCATGTCAAGGAGTCACACAGCTTCATTTCACACTATAAATCTATCTCCCTTTATAGGCTTTAGAGTTGCCACCTTTTCATTTATCTAGTTTTTTAAGATGAACAACATCACTCATTACTGTTGTGCCGTGCCAGCACTTCTTTTTATTTCTCTCCTCTTTAGCACAGAACTTCCTAATATTTCAGTCTTGCTTCAATCAATACACAGTGATAATAACAGGGAGAACCAGTAAGAATCAAAATTATTTCCTCGTTAATGCTGTCATATTGGAAAACATTTTAACCTGCTTCATAAAGCCATATAATTGTATTAGCAGAGCCTCTTTAAAACACTAATTTTCATTGCCATTCATGCATGCTACCCCAGTAATCCAGATGCTAATGCAAGACCAATTCCATGGCCAATTAGCTGTAACCATTAATAAAGGCTCAGACAGAGAAAGATAAAACAGGAGACAACAAAAGCTCAATGGCCACCACAAGGCAGAAGAAACTGGAAGACTAACGTTTAAGTTCAGCTCTGTCATTGTTCATCAGGGTGGAAAGCGTCCACCTGCATGTTTAAGGAAGACCTAGCTCTGCCTTCAAATGTAGGGTGACTGGAAGCTGGCCTCATGCTGGGAGGTCCAAGTCCATTCAGGGGCTTCCTTCGGGGACAAGACTGCCATTGCAGCACAAGCAGCCTGCAAGCTGTTCCAACACCAAGCCTCCGGCTGTAGCATGGTAAGGGGACAAAGGTTCACACACTGGGTTTTGCCCATGTGTTTCTTGCATACAAGCTTGCATCGGTGAGATGTGAAAGGGTACAGGGACTGTGCCTGACCCTGAGCAGTCACACACACCCTAGGAAGTGAAATGGGATTTCACTGTTCCCTCTTGCTTCCCCCAGATCCTGCTGTTAACTAAAAGGGAGCTGCAGGGAGGCAGCTGAGTCCAGAAGGTTGACATGGCAGCTATCACCGCAGTGTATGAAGAGACGCAATCAGCTCACCTCTGCCACCTTCTCCAAGAAAACACCTCATGCTGAGTCCTCTTTCTGTGTCCCTCTTAACACAAGAGGAGCTTTGCTTCCACAAGGACTGTAAGACCAACTACCCCAACTGCTCCCACCACACCTTTAACAGATACCTCAGTGTGGTGGACCCAAACACACATTTTAATGTACAACTATTCCAGGGGTTTCAAGCAGTGGAAGGCTGGGAACTCCAGAGCGACCTGACATTTCTCCCACCACCAGGACACTGGGTCAGCTGGCATTTGAACAGTCGCAGCCCCTCACCTTCTGAAAGTCACACTGGGGGTGTTTGCAGAGGGTAGGTTCACAGGTGACAATATTGCTGTGGCAACGGCAGTCTTGGCAAGAATCTGGCTTCCAAATGGTGTTATTCTGCAAATAAACAGAAGTTTTAAATGAGACCCATACAGCACAAGGCAAGTGCTATTTTACACAACAGCAAATAGCTCAAATAGCTCAATATAGACAGACTGGAAGAGTAAAGTCTGCAACAGGCCACCTTTCCCTCCTTCCCACATGCTCCTCAGGCACAACTTTGGTGTTGTTCATTCAGTGAGTTCAAAAACACTGTTGAAAAACAAGGCCACGCACAGCAAATCCTAAAATCGCAGACTGGTTTGGTTGGAAGGGACCTTAAAGTTCATCCAGTTCCAACCCCCTGCTATGGGCAGGGACACCTTCCACTAGAGCAGGTTGCTCCAAGCCCCATCCAGCCTGGCTGTGAACACTTCCAGCAACGGGGCACTCCAAAGGCAAGATAATCATCAGGACACAATCTCCAACAACTTCAAGGTGTTTAGAGCATCTGTGGGAAACTTTATAATTCAGTTTGGACTGTCCAAACTTCAGCTATCCCGATGAGCACAGCTTGTGTGGAGGCAGCTGAGGTAGCTTTGAGGCTAAACTGCTCCTGGGTAACTGTGGTAGCACTCAGCACCCCATAAGCTGATAGGGAACACAGGTAAATCTTGACATGAGTGAACACAAATGAGCTGTTGAATGTAACATTGAAACTTTTGAGGACGAAAAGGTTCTAGTGTTAAAACCACGATGTAAACTCTGCTTATTACATTAGGCTGTAAGATGGAAGCAAAGGTCTAAAGAGCCTAAGATGCAATTAAACTGATTTAGTCAAAAATGCTGAGTGCATAGCCAAGTACAAACAGGCTCCATCTGGTCCCATTTACTCCAACAGGTCATGAAGAGGACTCTGATCAAGCAGACAGTCCAACAGATTTGGGAATAGCTGTCGCTACCACTCCATCAGTGTACCCAGCTGGAACACCCACAGCTAATTGTCTAAAGAGTTGTCACCACCCCAGCTTGACCCCTTTCCATTCCTTCCACGCTGAGGTCACAACCCCACACAACCACCCTGCATTCATAAGGCAGCTCAGACCCTGACACTTGCCAGACTTCTCCTTGCTTCCCACCAGTTTCTCCAAGGTCTGAGCAGCCACTTCGAACGCATCACTTTTGGTAGGATGCTTGGAAAACAAAGTCTTCTTTCTCTTTACTCCTGAACACTGACTTCCAGCCATCCTGATACCAAATAGCATCAGCAGCATCCCAGAGAAGCAGCCAAGTCTGCCTGTCACCCCTCTTCCTACAAACGTCTTGCCTGCACTCAGTTCTTCCACATTGTCACTTCACCCAAACCAAGCATCCTTTCTCTGGCAGTTTAAAAAAGCAACCAGTAACTATGTACTGAGGTATTCTGAATGATTCAATTGCCATGTTCATGTTTAATTAGCTGGTTTTTAAAGCCCTCAGTTAAATCCACCAAAAGAAAATGGGACAAGGAAGATCAGTTTCTTGCCTGAAAAAAACCCTTCCCATTAGGCAACCCCTATGCGTACAGCAGGCTAAATTTATGCCACACAGGAAATTTTCCTGTGCAGTACAGACAGCTGCTATCCAAGCCATTAAGCCTCATTTTTAATGGATTTGAAAAGAGACCAGACTTTGCCACTCATTTACATGATGCAGTGATTTACTCCATTAAGTCAATTTACTCAGAGTGTAAAGTACGACTCAGGCAAATTAAGATATGAGAAGATGATTAACAGTTGACTACTAAGACCATATTTAGGGCTAACTACTAAAACTGTTAAGCATAATGATAAAGCACTGAAATGTGCCTTAAAAGCCCATTAGACTGCTTAATGAGAGCAAAAATATCTTGAAAAATCTGGCCATTTGCTCAGGAACTTATGCAGAAGCTATTGGGTGCTGCGGTCTTGCAAGAAGTTCATGGGATCTACAAGCGACTCAAGAAGTTCTACAAGCCAGTGTGTGTAAGGTGTGGGGAGAGGTGATCTTACAAGGCTTCACCTCACCTGCATAACTGAAATAGGGCACTGGTAGGGGCTCTCTCTTCTTCCACCCATCCTGCATGCAGGGCTGACTGTCAAGGAGAAAAGGCCGGTTGCCTCCCCTGGGAAAGAGGGCTCTTGGTCAAAACCAAACAGCTTACCCTACAATGCTGGATCAACAGTGCAAACCTGCAAGCAGTGGGATAACCAAAAATGCTGCTGACAATTCCTTGTGCCTCTTCGCTGCTTTACAGAAGCATTTCATTCCTATCAAACCGCGCTCTTCTCTTGTGGCAGAGTTCACACACAAGGAACAAACACTCTGGCAGCACCACAAATTCAGGTGAAGAATTCTCTGATAGTGTGATGATGATGGCAACACTAACCCCAGTAACAGTGATGGCAGTAAGTGTACAACAGCCCCTCAGGTAAGATATCAACAAGACCAAGAGAGATGGTAATTTCTGGCTCTGGCAATACAGCTGGTTCTCCTCTCGCACACACATGGCTGTGGCTCTAGAAAGGAAACCCTGACTTCATCTCTGCTGGCAGACTTAGACTACGGTTACAGGGTAAGTTCAGGTTAAGTTACATGCGTGCCAAGCTTTAGTTAGGGAGTTAACACATTCTGCCCTCCTTAACAGAGCTTTATCAGATTCACCCAAAAGACTCCTAAAACCATGATAATACCTGGATCTCCAAACATCTTTCCACTATAGAGAATGATGTTTAATCTGTTTGATGGAATTATTTTATGTATCTATTGATATATTTGCTGTATGTATTTGATGCATCCTTTGCTTGCTTGTTTCTAGTTGGAAGAAAACCTCAAAGCAGTGGGTGGCAAACGAGAGAATCAGTGTGAGAAAACAATGTCAGTGGTGGAAAGCAGCCTGGATTTTAAAACCGGTAGCTCACTGCAGGGTGAGGCTGCTGCCTCAGAAGCCAGACATGGGTTAAGACTGAGCACAGGGAGCAGATGAAGTGCTTCATCACCTGGCTCTCCTAAACCTTCACCTATGGCCTCTCTTCTTCATTAAAATAAAAACTATTTCCATGGTGGAAATGGAAATGGCCAAAGGACTCGCATGGCAAGAGGTCAGCACAGAGCCACCCTTACTCACATTGTGAGACTCAAATGCTCAAGTTTCTCATAAGAAAACCTTCTCTTTGCTCTTCTCCCTTATTTTCTATTACAGCGTAAGCTCAAACCAGCTTTTTCTAAATCCACATGATAATAATCCACTTGGAATATCTGCATGCATCACTGATTTCCATTTGCCAGGTATCAGATCAAAACTGACACATGCCCACAGAGGTTTTAAGAAATCATAATACAGTTAATAGCCAGAAAACTACTACCGGATTTTTTGGGTATGAGAGTCTTCCACACAGCTCATGGGTCTAGGTGTTCAGCTCTTTTGACAGTTCAACATTAAGGTTAAGATTCCTGGCTATGGAGCAACAGAACTAAACCCAAATTGGAAAAGTCTGGTGATAATTAAGTTTACTGATTTCTCTGCAGAAAAGCAGAGGGTTTATTCTCTGTAATGCTACCAAATGTCTGAATGTTACACACAGTAAAATGAGTAAAAGGCAACACTCTGGGTACGAGCCACTGAAAGTGCAAGGCCATTTAACTCCTTTGAAATGGGAGGGAAAAGCAGCCCTTGTACTTCATACACATGATGGAAATCCATGAAAGAAAGGGGAATTTATTGCAATAATTAGTTGTGGTGGTATTCCTGGATGTTGATGCCTTTAGTATCACGTCTCAAACCCATTTTAACATGTGCCCTGTTTACATGGAAATGCGTAGCTGACAGCTGCTGATACAGTAAAGCATAAAAAGATTTATTGGTACATATTTAGAGCTCTCGTGACCTGGAGAACACAGACTACCAGTATTTTTATTATTCTTTTTGGTTTTTCCATTTCAAATGTGACTATCACTAAGGCAACCAAACACTTAGAAGGACACTTTAAAGCTCCCAGTTATTACTGTTCTAAACATACAACAAGACTTTTTGGTAGACACTTAAAGAACTGCTGTAACATCTTCCCCAAGGCACTGTACCTCAGTGGACAAATTATCTGCTACAATTTAAGCACTGAATTCCTATCCTGTTAAGGGTGTACTTTTATCAATGACAATTTAAGAAGCTTTTTCCTTACAAGTACTAATATAATTAACAGTATAAATAATGAAATGCTGTGCACAGAGCACTTGAAGATGGAAAGCACTCCTTAGGCGCCAAGTAGTGCCATTATTATTTATTAATTCTTTGGATTTCTCTACATCAGAGGAAGAAACGATTCCTAATTCAGCTGCATTTTAAAACACCATGCTGCAAGGAGAGATGTCTACGTTACTTGGTTGGTTTGCAGAACAGGAGCCAAGAAACCAAGATATGCTCACAAAGCTTTAGAGCTTGCAGGCACCCAGACGCAAGGTGAAATAAAATAAAACCCAAGACCCAGGAGCACAGTGCAAAAGGTTGAAGAATACTGATGAGGATTTAGGAAAAGGCAGGCAAGAGAGCAGAACTGCATGTTAAGAAAAGGGTAAGAAGAGAAGGAGACAAGAAAGCAACCAGGACTGAAGCAAAGAGTAAACTAAAGAGCAGCTGTGAGCATTCATGGTTTGCTGTTGCCACAGTCACATTAAACAGAGCACAGAAGACCTTAATCTCTTTGACCATGACTTTTTTGACTGGTTATCATAACTTCATATGGCTGCACCTGTTCCTCTGAGTCTGCTGTTAATACATTAAAAGCCTCTGTAATTCAATCAGATGCCACTTAACTTGGGGTATCATCACACTAGGTAACAATCCGTGCTCTATTCTGGTGCAGTGACTATAGAAATAGGCAGCACACAACAGCTGGCTATTCCTGCAATTACTAAGGAGGGTGAAAACAGCAGCTTACAGCCAAAGCCTGAATGTTAGCCAGGAATCAAGCTTGATGTTTTACCATCATGCCAAAACCAAGGTGGTTGTTATTGCTTAGCATGTACCCTACTAATTACTTTTCCTGCTTTTGTAAGAAACCCGTAGCACCCAGCCCAAGCACTCCCTGATACACCTGCTGGGTTGGATTCATTTCCCAAGTCATCCTCCACCAGAGGCAGGTATTGCATGTCTCTGAGGAGGAACGCCAGCCTGTTTTGTTGAGACTGTAGGCAGAGCCCTGAGCAATTACACTTTGGGTAACAATCACTAGTGTCACCCACCAGCTGCCAAGTGGGGAGACTTGGCAGCTCAGTAACAACATTTATGATTTCCACTCCAATTAGTTGACAATACCAGGCAATTGGCAGAATAAACCCAATGTAAGGAAAGTTGAGAAAGATCCGTGGTCTGTGAGGATATCCATTAATGAAGCAATGAAGGGAAGAGAGTCATTCAGAGACACATAAAGGATTCCGAGTGTCCATTTGGGTTTAGACTTTATGTTTTATCTTTTGCAGTAGGGAGCTGTTGCTGCTGCTGAGTATGTTTTCAAATCTGATATGTGCTCGTATATAATAAAACCTCCCTTGAAAATGGTCTTTTAATGGCCTTACTCCAGCATGCCCACAAGCAGAACAGCGGAATGGCTCGGTCTCTGAAACCAAATGGAAATTCAGCTCATCTCAGTGGGAAGAGTTCTAACCCTGCACTCCTAGGAGAGAACAGCGCAGTTAAGGCTGACTGTACAGCTTGATGAACAGCACATAACACAAACACACTGTTTCAGGAATTGAGAACTATTTTTCCCCTTTTCCCACCTATGGAATTAAAAAGTTAGACAAACTAAAACAAGGCACTGTTTTCACAGTTCATTAGTCTGATGCTTTGCTCAGTCTTTCACCAGTTTATCAGCCTTGTAAAAAGCAAAATTCTACAAATAAAACTTCCCAGTAGCCCTAAGCTGTTCCAGGGATGGGAAGACTACGATATTCTAAGATATTCATAAATGACTCAGGTGCTGTTGTAAACTTTATCCTACCTTTCATACAGACACAAAAGCAACCACTGGGAAAGGGCTCAAATGAATCAAATGTGCAGAGCAGACAAGGTGGAGGAATTAAAATAATGGTTTTAAACTGCACACACTAGTAATTATCCTTAGCATCCAGGAAAAACAGTTGGTGTCCTCCTGCTGGGTTTTTTCTCCTTTACTCAAATAGTTCCTAACCTACCAAGTGGCAAATTTCAAACGTCCTCCCCCAAAATTACATCTGAATGGATATCAAACCCAGATTGTTTGATTGAACAGCTGTTGAAAAGAAGGGAGGTAAGGGATTCATTTAACCTAAGCTTGATCACAGCTTTAATTATCACATTTATTACAATATAATGGCTATCTCTGGAGGAGCAGGAGCCACAATCTCCATGGTGCAATGCTTCGGTGCACGTGCAAAGCACACAGGTGTAGCTTGAGGCAAAGCACAGCTCTACCCACCCAAGAGCACCAGGGAGGTTCTGTTCTACCCCCTGAAAATGCTGCTGCTTGTTTGAGAATTGGACCTGTGGAAGCTGCCAGGGCTTCCGCAGTCAACATCAACCACTGAAGGCTGCAGAACTGCAGGCAGCTGCTGTCAGTTGGTGTGCACAGAACCACAGCCTGAGAAACAATAAAATCAGATTTGAAATGGGCCGTTAAACTGACTTAATCCAGTGCATGTATTAGAAGGGATTCCCCGCAGAGCACAGCCTGGCTATGCCCTCTAGGCAATACTGCTGGCCTTTTGAGCTTGTATTTTTATGTTTCCTAAAGAGGGAGGGAATATCCTCCGTTGTCCCAACACAGATATGTCAAATGATGAAGTTGTATCACCAGCAGGATGCGTGATTTCAAATTCATCCTGTTGTGCTGCTGAAATGCAGACTATGTTAGGCCAAACGCTTCAATGTTAACTCTATCTAGTCAGGGCAGGATGAACAAGACAGGCTAAGCCTTTTATCCTATTTCTAACAAAAAACCACCAGGCCATGAAAATCATTGCAGCTCAGGCAGCTGATTCAGCAGAGAAAGAAACAATCCTTCAGTCAAAGTCATTTGCAGTAGGCCCTGGAAGTAGTGTATCA